TAGACTCCGAAGGTTGTCCAAACCCATCCAACAGGAAGGCACCTATCTTTGGGGCCCTTCCTCAGCGGATACCATTGGAGGGCCTTGGACATGCATGGTACAACAAATATCCAGTTCTACCATTGAATGCTCCAAACAATCAAGGACGTATGTGTATCAAACGCCACCACCATGCAATGAAAAGACAGCCTGCAACGAAACTGGTCCTTTGACTGCCTTCTGCGCGATCTGAAGAAAACATCACCAAAAGCTCAAGTCGCTCCAGTTGTTCATTCACTGGAGGCCTGCTTCACACATTGTCCGCTGAATAGCTGCAAACATCGCGGCGCTTTCGTCCGGATCAAGAGCCTGAACAGGGCCTAAGTTGTCATTCCGTCAAACCAACTGCGGTGCCACCGTGCCACCGCCCAAAACTAGCTTCACAGGAGTCTATCCCAAATATGGGGAGAATCCATACAGGCGAACCGCCGCGAATATTCACAGCCGGAATTGTCCCGAGTTGGATTGGCTTATGCTTCTTCAATTATTTATATTATATATATAAATCCCACCATGGTGATTGACCAAGTCGAAGTTGTCAAAGATGAATCCCTGGCTGACTCCTGAAGCTTGCTTTTTGAGTACCAGCCAATTCATCGCGGAAGGGGAACCTGCTTTTCTATCATGGTCCGCTTGGATGCTCGGCTTATGGACTGCCATATCTGCTTCGTATCTTTGTTGGAATTGACAACTGTTGCGGACCTGGAGTGGGAAAACACCACATTTCGGAGGCCACTCAGCAACTGGATGTCTTCTCAGCGGTCTGGAAGGGCTTCCGTGCTCTGCTCGCTCGCGGAACGGCGGAAGGTCCTGCAAAAACACACAACTGAAGCATGTGCCATGACTACTTCAAAAAGCACCCGTGCCTGGTTGGAATTGCACGAGCCACGGAGAATATTCAGAAGGTGACCCCAACTGACATTGGAATCTTGGTGGAGTTTCACTCCTATGCGCTCATGGGGATTTGGTGAGGGTGGGTGTTCCGAGTGTAATCCCGATTGTATCAGAAGCTGATCAATCAGAGCGAGCGTTGCTGACACAGACTTGGCGAATCACAGGCTTCCATCCCTGCATCGCCTTTTGCGCTCCTCTCTCCGACTTTCATACCCATGGAACCGTAGGGGTATGCCCCTGCAGACCTGCAGGGCACAAACAAGCCTCAACTTGGACCAATCCTCGCCTCCCCCCCATTTCCAAATTCCCGGAAGGAGCCTGGATCACGGAAGTCGCCAGCGTAGCAGAACCAAAGCCACAAACCGCGCCAGGAATAGACCAACCCTTTTGAGGACAAACCTTGCCCCTGCAAAAAGCTGCTTGTTTTTAGCTTTTCGGGGGTTTAGTGGAAAACACCATTTATTTCCCGAAAAGTGAAAGTCTAAAGATCCGTTGCCCAATAGCAGTCAAGAAACCACCCAGCGGGTACCTCGCGAGTCCAACAGCCCACCCTTTTGGCTCCTCGCTATCTCGCCGTCGGAGGCGCCTCAAGGTTTGACATGTAACACCCGAACCATGTAACCGGATGTTTTTTGTTTCCAAATGGCCAACATATGTCTAAACACAGTAGTTTCAACAAGCCTCAATATTGGAATTGTTGCTGAAAGCTTTTCTATTGGTTCATTTGCTGTTTTGCTGGGGTTCAATCTTGTTTGGTTGTTTTGTGCTGTGTTAAATCCTAAAGTTGCCTGAGTGTGCCCATCACAACAAAAATAACTTGCACATAGACCTTGGGCAAAGTGCGCGATCTGGCGCGATGCAACTTGCAGAGAGGCTATTGCAGCTACAACTAGAACAAATTGAAAGACCGAAGCTGCTCACATGCTATGCTTTGGGGTCAACCATTCTTCAATATTCTAGTTGGCATTTGCAAGGGGGAAGGGCCAGGGCAACCGGGCCCGCCCCATTTTGTGGCAAGGGGGACCCCCAGAAAAACTCAACTGACTTTGAGCTGGACGTGAAGCTCCAAGTCTGCCGATCCGCTGGCCCGTTCCAACTGCTGGATTGGCCAGAACCGTTTAACCATGAGCTAGCTCAGATCAACTCCTAGCTGACCAGTATGGCATGAGATTGAATTAACATGAACACCTCTGGGTTTCCAATAAACTAAAATCCCCCCACTTACAATTGTCAATCAGTAGGTGATGTAATGTCAAAAAACAACCTAAATGGAAATATGGCTGTGGACCGTCTTGGGAACAAGATAAAAAGGGAACTGACATGATTCACCCACAGTTTCCGGAGATTCCAAGTTCTGGCTCGTACCCATGCGTGTATTACACACCTTTTTTTGTTACCGTCACGACTCCCTCAATAAGCGTCCTTTCATTGGTTGAAGATCAAAGGGTGAAATGAACCGAACCCAAGCAACCGCTGCAAACTCAGCTTGGAGTGCGGCTACTCTCACTTACCCAAAGGACCTGCAAATAAAAGGTTAACCTTTTGGGACCTCTACTAAAAATAGACCAGAAAGGGAAAACCAAAAGGTCAAAAGGTCGGCTTTGAGCAACTGAGTACTTCCCCAGATGTCCTTCACATGGCCCCCCTGTTTGGGGGTTTCCACGGGTGAGGTCCACTTGTGATACCAAGGGACTCCCCGCGACAAGCTCCCCCACCAAAACTGACCGAGAGCGAGGCGGGGCTTCCCGCTCCCGACTCCTGCCAACGCCACCGCTCTCTTTTCGATTGGAGTCTCAGATGCCCGGTGGATTTCCATAAGAACAAAAGAATCGGCATCTTTTTGTTGGTTGGTTGAGTGTAAAAGGGAACCCTTCCCCAAAAATTGGAACAAGAGCGCCACTGGGCAACAGAGGATTTGACATCAAAGTCTCCCATGCCGTTTTGAGTGCGAAACCGTGCTTTTCATGAGAGGCACAGAAGCAAGCACACAAAAATCGTATCACCAACGGACCTTGGAAGTAAACGGGTCTTGTCCTTGACAGGCACCGCCGAACATACCCACATTTATCACTCATCACCATTACCTTCGAAGCCATTTGGGAAAACCCACACGACATTTGTGTGTGCTGTGTGTGTGTGCTGTGTGTGTGCTGTGTGTGTGGGTGCGTGCGTGCGTGCGTGCGTGCGTGCGTGCGTGCGTGCGTGCGTGCGTGCGTGCGCGCGTGCGTGCGTGCGTGCGTGCGTGCGTGGGCGCGTGGGCGGGTGGGCGTGTGGGCGTGTGGGCGTGTGGGCGTGTGGGCGTGTGGGCGTGTGGGCGTGTGGCCGTGTGGGCGTGTGGGCGTGTGGGCGTGTGGGCGTGTGGGCGTGCGGGCGTGCGGGCGTGCGTGCGTGCGTGCGTGCGTGCGTGCGTGCGTGCGTGCGTGCGTGCGGCGGCGGGCGGGCGGGGCGGTGCAGTGCGTGCGTGCGTGCGTGCGTGCGTGCGTGCGTGCGTGCGTGCGTGCGTGCGTGCGTGCGTGCGTGCGTGCGTGCGTGCGTGCGTGCGTGCGTGCGTGCGTGCGTGCGTGCGTGGGTGGGTGTGTGTGTGTGTGTGTGTGTGTGTGTGTGTGTGTGTTCGTGTGTTTGTGTGTGCGATTGTTTCTGGGGCGCCTCCAAAATGGGTGGCGTTCCTTCTGGCTTCCCTTTAGAACCACCTTAAAAAGACCCCCCTCCATTTCAGAAAACGGAACACATGGATGCCGCCTATCAGGCATGCCCAGATGACAAAAAGTAATCGCCTGTTGGCTGTACGAAACCGTTGAGTTGATAGCTTGGAACCACTAGGAATACACCCGTTAAGCATGGTCGATAACAGCAATCCTGGAAGCCTATGTTCACACATGTTCTTGCGTGCTACACATCTCGTATTAGTGTTGTTGGCAAGAAGAAGGATTTTCCTCATAATGCCAGGCAAAAGTCTTAGAACAGCTTTCTGGCCCTTCACAACTGAGCCCATTCCAGTAAGGCTCAAAATACTGAAGCACATCCACACCAAACAATTGTTTTCACCAACAAACATGCTCGCTCAAATGAACCCACCATTGCCAAGTTGTGTGGGGCGAGTACTTTCAGAAAATCACCACAACGGAGACCCTTTTGCTACCGAAGTTGACAAGACCTTGCAGATTGCCTTTGCGCAGTCAACTACCCCCCTGCATTAGTTGTCTCCAAATCCCTGCGGGCTTGTTATGCCTACCGACCCAGTGCCCAGTTCCCAGTGCCTGCTGCGCCGTCTGCGGCTGCGGCGGCTGCGGCTGCGGCGACTGCGGCTGCGGCGGCTGCGGCTCCGACGTACGCGGCTGCGGCTGCGGCTGCAGCGTACGCGGCTGCGGCTGCGGCTGCGGCGGCTGCGACTCCTGCTGGGATGATCAACAAGTCCGCTAGGACCGCATGGTTGTATAGTAGTATGTATGGCTGCAGAGTTAGATAATATGTGTTTGTTAACAAGTGACTGGCAACCAGTGAGCAAGAGTTCACCATATAGCGTCCACAAGCGCTATGGCTTTCTGGTCAAGAATCTTCGCCCAGGGCAGCTTGCATCCCCTGCCCAAGCTGGGTTTCCATCACTGATATCATTGGTGACTTCCACAGGGTGTGAAAAACATCAATCAGCGTTGCCCTTTTCACTTGTCCAAAGAATGCTGGAATCAAACATCAAGCTTTTGAGCCCATGCCGAAAGATAGACCGACCCTGGAAAACCAAGGAGTTCAAAAGGTCGTCTTTGGACAACTCGGAAAGCTTTTCGCTAGGCTTTTGACACTCTCAGCCGACAGGTGCCAAAGCGTCTGAGCTATATACATTGAGATCACTTTGGACACTCATTTTGTTTCCTGCTGGGGCTTGATCCATGTGCCTGAGGTCTAATTACCCAAACGGGTTCTCACTATCGCCGCTTGGCCAGCAACAACGTGAAAACAGGGGCAACAACATTAAGGTCTAAACATGTAACCATCAGCACCTGGATCCTTCGACCCATGTCAGTCGCATTCTCACTCACGTCGGCTGGCAAGGTCGATTTGCCTCGCGACGATCACCAGCCCAATGGCCAGACCATACTGGTCCTGAGCCAAAGTCGGACATCCAGCGCTGGGATTGGCAAACTCTGGGCAAAGCAAAGCAACCGAACACAAAGCTTGGACTTGAGTTCTGTTGAGGGCTACCAACTCGTTTCGCCAAGGAAGCTATCATGAGACACAAACACCCCCATAGCTCATCTACTGAGGACAAGATGATGGACCGGGCTGTCGCGCTCTCCGGCCCTTTGGCGCGCTCACGGGTGAGCCCTTCAGGCCTTGTCGGGGGCTATTGGCGTGGACCTCTGTGTCCGTGAAAACGTGGGTCTGTGGCCTTCAGCATTGGAAACGTAGGATATATATATATATATATATAAAAACACATGCCATATGGTAACATGGAGGTCAAAAGGTCAAACGACCGGTTTCGGGTTGGATCCCGGGGTCCTCCCCCCAAAAGCCCCACCCCCTTTTTCCGATAGGTGGCAGCGTCTGCTTCAGCTGCGCTCGCGCAGTGGCCATGACCTCCTCCACGTTGGCGAAGCGGCGCTCACCGGGGATGCCTCTGCTGCACCACTCCTGGCGTGCTAAAGAGGGAAACTTGGAAAACTACACATGTTCGGCTTCCATCTGGGTAACAGATTGCGAGCTATTTGGCTGGCCATGGGAAGCCGAAAACGCAAGCAAAAAAGATTCGCCTGAGAACTGATTGCTGAAAAAGTCCAGCCAAAAAGAGAAACGTGACGGGTTCAGTTTCTGACCAAAGGAAAAAACAAATCAAATCGCCAAGCAACCCCAAACCAGGGACCTGATGGCACCTTGCTTGAAGCTCAGGGATGCAAATCCCCGAACAATCCTCAGTGGCTGATTGACTCGTTGGTTTGTGGCATGCTCATTTGCTCCTGGAACAAGGGTCATGCTGTTGGATACATTTCAAATAACCTTCTTTTGTTGGTAATGCCGTGGGCTATCTTTGAGTACTTGAACCCGAAGGGGTCCACAAACCAAGCACTCCCAAGAATCCCCCATTAAAAGCAACAGGCCGTTGGCTCTGCCAGAGGGTCTTTTGGTGCGGAAATCCTGGAAGCCACAGATTGCCAAGGGCCGCACTTCCCCAATAGGCCTGAAGAACGGGTTGAGCCCACAAAACAAGCACCCGGCAAATCCTAAGGGAATTGAAACGGAAGATCCGTCTTTGTTCCGCAAGTGCTTCTCTGATCTTCATTTTCAGAAAAATGGCCGAACAACGATGTGAAACGAATCGGGATCGCAAGCGCACGTAGAATTTTTTTCGACAGGGAAGGGATGGGCCAGTATGGGAACAAACACACAACTTGGAACCTTGGCCGAAAATGGGAACCTAACAAGAACAAAACCCAAAGCCACATCTGGTCGATTTGCTTCGGTTGAAAGTGAGCTGCAGATGGGTGAATTACGCTTCGGGTTCAACACGGAAAAAAACTTTATATGCATTAATTCGAATCTAACAACCAAAAACACACGCTATATACAGTTTGGTGAGGTGCTTTGTGTGTTGGGTCCAGCCACCACCACTGAAAAGATAACAAATCAATGTTCAACAATTCGGTTCAGTCAAAGAAGCAGGGGAAAGTGCAATGAGGGCAGATTCTATGGCTGGCAAGTCCCAAGTCTTCCTAAGACAATATCTCCTTCCCAAAAAGCCTAGACCCTGCTTCGTCTCACTTTCTGAGTAGGTTGGCCACAGAAGTCTGAACGTTTTGTTTGTCACTAAAATGGTCCAACCAGAATGGAAAGTAGGGCTTTGTTTCTCTGAAATCTGCAACCACTCTTTAAACAACCCCAAATCAAGGTTTTGTATCCCCTGGAAACATCACAATACCACGGAACCTGCATCCCAGACCTCCAGTTTCTCTGACAGCCACTGCAATAGCTGCACAAGAAAAAGAACATATACACCGTTTTTGTCCGGGTTCGGGTGGTTTGGGGGTGGGGAAACCCCACCTTAGAGTCATCGGCCAACTCTGTCCAGCTGCAACTTTTTTTGAAGGGCACTGGGTGCTGGTTCACAAAACAATCTTCTTGTTGAAACCTTGTAACAAACCTCCATTTGCTGAAGTCCCCTACAAACAACAGGCAAACTACTTCCCTGTAAAACCAACAGGGGAAACTACATATGTTTCTGAAACGCAAACGGGAGGCAAACGGAACCTCCACCCGAACGACCGGAAAATCCTCTTCGGTGAGCGTCAGAAGGCCCCCGCGGGCGTCCATCTCGCAGTTGCTGGCGCCCGCGCAGCCATAGGCCTGATGAACGGAAACCAAGAGAAAACATAGAATTGAAAGGAGCTTCCTTTAAATCGGACACTATTGTGAACAATGGTCCCCCAACAAACAAAAGCAGTGGAAATAACAAATGCCTGGTGGGTTCCCTTCCCTTTACAGGGTTGCCAACAAAGAAAGGTTGTGAAAAAGGATGAGAAACTGTGTGTGTGTGGCAAAATTATGATTGAACAAAAGCATAGGGAGGCTAGTGTCCAACACACAACCAGTGCCTTGCACACACCAAAAGGATGCTCATCAAGGGACACTTTTGCTATCTGGCCAGCTTTTACGGCTACTTGCAAGGCTTCTTACGGCTTCCCACGATTCAAATTGTAGTCTAGGAGTGTGAGGGAGGGCAAAAGTAGCGAAAATTGCCCACGTCACACATGGTTTTCACAAGTAAGCCGATCCATCTATGCAGGAAACGAGCTGATTTCTCTTGGCCGGTTGTGTTTGAAACTGCTTCGGAGTCGCAAGCCACTGGTGTACAATTGCTGCACCCCCAAGAAGCAAACTTCATCGTGGGACCCCAACTCGCTCGCGTGCCGAAACTTTTCTGTCGAACTCTGAGTTGCCCCGGTGTAGGAAAAACACACAAGCCCCATTTCTCACCTCCAGATTGGCTGGCCAAGAAACGTCTATTTTTTTCGTTTACTACTAAACAAGTTCTCTCCAAAGATATAAAGCCGAACTCGAGTAAGACTTTTGGTCGCAATTCTCCAATCCCAAGCCGCTCAGCCTTGTAGCCAGGGCAGGTGTTGGCACATGCGCAGCCTGGAAAAGCAGACCCAGAAACCAGCCCGGCAAGATCTGTCGCTCCAGGTCACGGGGTTCATTGGGGGGCTCCACCAACGGAACTGGTTCCGTGGTACGGCAACCAAAGCCCCAAAGACCTAGCGCTCGCATGCACCTGCCTCTCAGAAACTCGATTGCATGCAACTGAAGGGTTCACATTCCCGGGCAAACCACGAATTCTAGAAATAGTTGGTGAATGATCTTCAGGGCCAGAACTGCAGTGCCGGAGCCGCAGTGCCGGAGACGGACAAACATCTAGTAGTGCAGAGCTCATTTCAGGTGAGCTCATTTAGCGTAGCTCGTTCCAATTTCCGGAATCGTTAAAACCCATGGACATGTCCAGGGTGTATTTCAGGTTTCCTTTGCACACAGGACTTCCTTTTGCCAAAGGCGCCACACTGGGCGCAGCAAGTGCAATCTGTGAGGCCCTCTGTGGTGTGGGGCTGGCCGCACCACATCTCCTGGGCCCCCTTTTGAACTGATCCAGGTCCCAGCCACTCGGGAAGCCTTCGCCACGTTTCTTTTTCGCTGTAAAGTTGACTCCCTTACCGACATAAACGAAATTCCTTGGACTGTGGGCATTGGTTTGGGGTCTGAACTGGATGCTAAAGAGATCTGAAGCTGACGTTCAACCGCTCCGAACGCCTTTTTCTGCCTGCCTTTCTTGCGGGGTACCCTTTCGGGGCTGGTTCAAAGGGAAGCCAAAAGGAACCCCTCCCCCATGTAAGGGGTTCCCCTATCCTATCTTGACTCACATACATGTCATTCTGTGCCTCCTAGAATGCCAACCCAGAATTTAGTTGGCACAAAAAACAACGACTTGATTTGTCATCAAACGCGGGGCAACTTACAATACCTTGCACCACTCTGGTCCTCGGTGTATCTCGTGTTGCCCCAAACCTCAGAGGCACAGCCATCGTCCAAGTTCCATGGACCCATCCTTTGACGGGCCCAATATGTCAAGCAGAATTATCCTCCACTCCAATCGTTGAGGACAGCTTTCCCGGTGAACGTCCCCTTCCACTTGCATGGTTGTTGGAAAAAGAGTAGAAGGGAAATAACATGGACAGTGCAAACAACGCACAACGCTAAGGAATCTCCTTTTGGGATCAGACCCAAGTACCAAGTGGGGCTGTGGTTCCAATCATTGTGATTCTCTCAGCAGACTCCGCCAAACATGTCCATCAAACATGGTTGGGATCCTGGGAATTGGGAACCCGCCCCTTTTCACGAAACAAGGCTACGCTGGGTATCGTTCCCTTCTTGTCCTGCTCAAAAGAACCACACTACCACTCGCAAGCTGTGCCAGGGTTCACAGTCCCAATGCACAGGCGGGTACGGTGACCTAGGTGCAGGATTCACCACAAAACAACAAGTAACAAGGACCAGGCTTCCTAGTCCACATCACTACCACTTTCTTTCTTTCTCTCTCTCTCTCTCGCATGTTTGCTTCGCTTGTCTGCGTGGGATCCTGAGAATCCGACCTAAAAATGGGGTCCTAGGACAACCATCCACGTAAAGTATGGGATGCTTTCTTGCTTGTTTGTTTGCTTGCTTGATCGCTATTGTTCATTTTTCAGTCAAGTGCACCCTCCAAAGGTTAGTTTTCCAATGGTTTGCCTCAAGCACAATGCCAAACAGGTACTCATATGTGTTGCTCGGAAAACCACCGCCAACAAAGTGCGCAGAGTGGTTGGTGTGTTGTGGGCGCCATTCAGATGTAGTCCCTGGTATGAACCCTTGCTTCATGATTTTCTTTCACTTCCTACTGCATGGGAAACCAGGCGCCGACGAGCATGGATTCCATGGGTCATGTTGAGATGAATATCCATAAAATATTTTTTGTTGCCTCCACGTACAATAGCCCAAATGAATGGTTTACATTCGCCCGTCCCAAATGTACACATCCCAAAATGGATCCATTCCAAAAGGCCCACCCAGAGGGACAAACTCCTATGTTACGTGTAATCCGCAAGTTCATCAGGCATCTTTAAGTCCTAAGAGCAGGGCTACTGATCTCCCCGTCAGGAACGATGAACAGTTGCCTTGGCCCCCTGGGTTCAAAACTCGCATCTGTTGTGATCGGTCTAGCAATCGTATCCAACAACCGCAACCAAGCCTCACCATTTGACACATGTTAAGTGTTTGCTTGCGGACAGGTCTTTGCTGAGTTGGTTGGCTATGGCAATAGTGGATTCGGCAGTTGGGTGGTTGGCTTGCATGCCCACCAGTCATGCAGAAAGAACCCCCAAACACATACAAATGCATCGCTTGTTGTTGGCTGATGTTTATAGGGGGCCCCACCACTACAAAATAAAACCGCGACAAAGCGTTCAAACACAAGAACGCCCTTGCTGAATGCGTGCCTCAATGTCTCAACTTTGGGACACCAAGTTAGGCACTACAACCAGGAAGCAAACAGGATGCTATCTGCACCTGTTGGGTCTATCCCCTGCCTGCCCTTTCGCGCAGCTTGCCGAGCTGTTCAAACAACTCCGGTATTGCTTTATTAACACCTCACAGGGCAACAACAACAGCATCAAGATGCGTCAACACACACCAAGGGACACATCAAGCAACATCACAAGATGCGTCAACACATCAAGAACTGGCAAGACGACATGGCGAGATCTGCTTTGTTTCTGCACTGGGCTGTGGGAAGTGACCACTTCAGTGATACGACAAAAAAGGCTTCCCAAAGAATGAAACCCTCTACAAGGGAGGAATTCCCTTGTATCACAGTGGGGGATAATCACAGTGGGGCAACCCTGTTGCATCCTAGACACGGAGCAATGTTCTGAGCTCCCAGCTGAGGACTCCAGGCAATCCGGCGCCCCAGCGCAGCCCGGGGCGCGGAAGCCTGAGCAGAGTGGGTCTCCACAGAGCTCATGGGAACAGGTCCGGATTCAATTCCAGTGGGTCTGTTCCAGTGGGTCTATTGGTCATGCATGGCAATGGATTCAACCAGACCGTTTTCTCATGGTGGAATGCACCGGAAAATTTCTTGGAAAACTGTTCTAGCCTTGCAGTACCCATTCTTTGCGCCATAGCGCACTCAGCAAAAACATTGTTTGTTTGTTTTTTCCCCCTCGGCTGGTGGTTTAGACGATGCATTTTTCTGTACTACACTCATCGTTCTGTTCCATAGCATCGTTCTTCTCCATGTTCTCGGGGTGGGGGACCCTTTTTGTTCCCACTGTTTTAACCTCGTTCGGGAAATGTTGAACTTGGGAATACAATGGACAAATAGAGCTCCATGGGCCAAGCTTCCCATTGTGTTTGTGCAGTCTTTCTTTTGCAAACATCGCCCTGCTGACTTTGGGGAGGGTTCAAAGGTAGACGCCCGTTCGATTTGGGGCCTGTGTTCCAGAGTTTGGGGGAGGGTGCTGGCGCTCTGCCAGCTGAAAGCCTGCTGGGCGGCGACGTTTCTTGTATCAATTATCAAAAGGCTAAAGGCTGTGTCATTTTTTTGGGGAAACCGCCATTTGCTTGGTTTTTAGAGGGAGACCCTGGCAAAAACTTTTGCATCGGGGAATAGATGGAATAGCCAGTCAGAATGGTAAGGTGACCTTAGAACTGGCAATTAATTCGGATGGGAAACGGTCTCACCAAATAGGAGATAAGTGGGAAATTGTCAATTTCTCGACCAGGACATCCACGGGAAATTGACTATTCACCAGTCAGTGTGACTGTGAAAATGGTCTGTAAATCCAGCGGGTGGCTAGGATCTTGCCGCTTTGGGAACATGTGCTAGCCGGATGCCACCCAGCAATGGTTTGCATGGAACCGGCTAGAAATGTTCGATTCGGGCTGCTGTCCTCGGGTTCCTCGTGTGGACGTGGCTTCCAGCTTAGAACTTTGCTCGGGGTCCAGAGAGAAATGGAACGAGACCCATGGGTTGAAGTAAACGTGGTCTAAGGTGTTCAGATTTGCCGTGGCCTCCGCATTCCATGGGGACCCGCACATGAGCCACATATGCGAATCTGCCGGGTTTGCCTCTTCACCTCGATGACCCGCAGTGTCTAGAGCCCCTTCTTGCTTCCGAGGCTTCCTTTACTTCCACGGACTCCTTGGTTGGGTCGAAACAAAAACCCACAGTTGCAATTCCTTTTGCCCGGCTTTTCGGAGCTTTTTGCCAACTGCCGTGTTTCATCATGTTTCATCTTTTCAACCATTTCAACAACCTGTTGATCTGTTGGCTTCGCTCCTTTTGCGAATTGAGAACTGTCTAGAACCTAAGAGGTATAAAGTCCATGAACTCAGGAAGTGAGTTGATTTCGGACCCCACGTTTTTTTTTCTTCTAGGGGTGCGTTTTTTGTTAAAGGGAAGTTACAAATGAAACCACACCCATCCCACCCCAGCCCACTCCACTTGACCCCCCGATTTCGGTGCCACGAACCCTTGCACCGATCGGCTGATCGATCCGCTCACGTTTTGCCGCCTGCGCATTGGGCTGCGCAGCTGCACCCGCACTGGGAGCAGCAGTCGCACGCGCTGGCAGCGGCGCCTGACTTGCGGAACTGGGCGCGTGGGAAATTTTCTCTTCAGAACAGGCCCTGAACATGCGCAAGTTTGTGGTTGTACTGTCTGTTTTGAGAAAACAAACAGAAAAAGAGGTTCTCACACTCTGTCAAACAAATGGGAAAAAACACACAACAACACTGTGTCAGCTGTCCTGACTTGCTATGTTTTTTGATTTGCTTTTTGTGCTCTCGAAGTGTGTGTTGCATGTTTGAAAAGTGTGAAACACCACCACTTTTTTTTAACAAGACCATGTGCTCATTTACCAAACCTATACTGTTCCTACATCTGCAGCGCCGAGAAAAATAATCATGCAACGGAATACCAAGATCCGCAGCATGTATGTATGTATGCATGCATGTATGCATGCATGTATGCATGCATGTATCTAAGTATCTAAGTATCTAAGTGTCTATGTATCTATGTATCTATGTATCTGTGTATATGTTGTATATAGGTATGTATGCATGCATGCATGCATGCATGCATCTATGCATCTATGTATGTATGTATGTACGTACGTACGTACGTACGTACGTACGTATGTATGTATGTATGCATGCATGTATGTATGTATTTGTGTGTGTGTCTGTCTATCTATCTATCTATCTATCTGTCTATCTAGCTATCTATCCATCTATCTATCTATCTATCTATCTATATATATATATATCTATCTATCTATCTATCTATCTATCTATCTATCTATTTATCTATGTATGTCTATGTATCTATGTATGTCTATGTATCTATGTATGTCTATGTGTCTATGTATGTCTATGTATCTATGTATCTACTATTGCGCACACTTCCACTGTACCGACCGTGTATGTGGGTCCCCGCGGTAAGTTGCAGGGGCACCTACGAGATCCGTGCTGCGGCCCTTGCCTGGGCAGATTCAGATCAGACAGCATGGAAGACTTTAACACAAATCCGAGGGAATTGCTGCTAACCAAGAAATGAGTCGAACACACAGCGAGCCCGAGACAGGATACCGAGCCGAGAATTGTCTAATTCCATTAGCTCCATTGTGCTTAATGAGGCTGTAGAGAGCTCCCCCCAGCGAAAGCCTTGGTTGAGGCTGATTGACAAGCCCCGAACCTAGGTTCTGTCATACCAAACAGCCCCTTTTTGCTTGCTTTGGGTCAGCAAACAACCCACCAACCATGCTGGAACCATGCTGGGGCCCCCGAACGCCCCCGCAACCTTCAAGGACACCAACAATGTTCTGGGGGCTCCATTTGCCGATTTGCCCTACCAGCCACGAATTCGAAACTGGGAAGGACAAGAAACTCAAGGGCCGATGGGTGAAAACATGTTCTTCCAACGTCCGAAAAGACTAAAACCTGTTGTTGGCCTTCACTTGCCAACGCCAACGGCAGCGCCAGGAAAGCGCTCAGCAGGCGCATCGCAGAAAACACGGCAACAATAGGTGCCAGGGGTATTTGGGCTTTCCTAAGCAGCCAGGCCGCAAACTGCTGGGGAAACGGCCAAGCATTGCCAAGCATCTTGCCTCCCAAACGGGTTCTTCTGCTTCCCAAGTCATTAGGTGAACCTAGAGAAAAGCTTCAGGTACATACATGACATCCAAACGATCCCCAGCTTACTCTCCGGGGAGCTTGCTCAATCCAAACAGAGACGACCTGCCGTTTTGTTCTTGACCGCGAACGGAAATACACAGAGTCCAGCCAGTTGACAGCCCACCCTCTTCCAGCTGCTCACATGCTAAACATTCTAAAGCTCACACACACACACACACATACTTCTCACCTTGCGATCTCGTGGATCCTGACTCAACTCAGTGAGTATTAGGCAGCCTGCCCCTGCTTGTGTTTCGGCTCTTGCTTGGTGTGGGTCGTTCTTGGGTGTGGGAGTTCCTCCATAGACCCGCGCTTCGCAGCCTCTCCTTGAGCATGAAGAAGCGTGCGGCAGATCGGACGCTGTGTGCCACACCATCCGCGTGCAGAAACAGAAAATACAACAACGTGAACTCCCCGAAGCCATGTGGATGGATAAAAACCACTTGCCAGCTCGTGGTTCTTCATCAGGTTTCATCTATACGTCAACTGGTGGGATATGACGGATTTTGCCCATCGGGTTCAGTGTGGTCCAGGCGGAAGTTAGCTTTGGGGGGGAGCTCCCCCTACATGGAACCTTCTCAACCCATGGAGCCCGCGCCAATGCCTGTCCTGGGCCTCTCCCGCTCCCGCTCCGGCCTGGCGAGAAGTCGTAAGCGAGGGAACGCCCGCCCCACTAAACCCCCTAGCTTCGATACTCGATTCGTTCCGTGTATTATCTTACTCATTTCGTTTACTTCGTAGTTCCAAAACCGGAATACGATTGGTATCCCCAGGGAAGATTCATCATGATGAGCTCGTTTCACCAAGGTGAGCTTGACGTAAAATGCGCAGATACGTCACGGAAACGAAACTTGCTTCCGCAGACATTGGACGAATAGGGTTCCGTCTCTTATCCGGTCCCTCCCAAAACAAGACAGAGCCATAGACTGGACAATTTCGACCGAGCCCATGGCTCAAAGTTCTGGACCCAGCAAAATCCAAATTTTGTCTTTGCCTACAAAGTGGGGGGGACTCGCTTTCAGTGACAGCCACACTATTGCCCCTGCGCAAGGGAACATGCATGGGGACCAGCCAATGGGCACACATCCTAGCAGGCGTCCGCCTTCTTAGTTGGCTAGTGCTCCCAGATATGCTTCACCAAATGCGCACTCCCCTTCCCAGTTTCTGCTTTTTGTGGAGGGCAAGCAGGCAACTACGGCAAGGACAAACAAACAGCGAAAGTTAGGCTTTGGCGAACTCTTCTGGCCAGTCTCCAACAACTAAGCAGCCGTCAAGTTGCTTCCATTTGCGTTTGTGGTGAGCCAAAAGTTTAATTATTGGGCTGGTCTTCTTTTCCGAGGCCCGTGTTTGAGGTCGGTTCAAAGGAAAGCCACCAGGAAACCAGCCGTTGTGGGGAGAAACCAACATTTAGCAGCCAGGAGCATTTCTTGGCTTGCACTCCCGAAAGCTGTGGATGGAAGTTGAAACAAAGAGGTGCGGGGATGACACAAAAGCCATTTCCCTTTTACCCTTTTAAAACCAACAGGGGAAGAAAGAATCATCTCATGTTTGCGTTGTTCAAAGGCGTCCTCAACTGGAATTTCTGAATTGGATATTTCTGAAGTGCGATGTTGCCCCCCCCTCAAAAGGGTTCTGCTCCTTTTGAGGTTCCGTCCAAGTTTTTACGGGTTTAGTGAGTCCCGTCCGTTTTCCCTCCCAAGCTGCCGATTTACAAACAAAGGACTCTTCGACCGGACCTTTGTACTGTACATATTGATGAATTTGACTTGGGGACCCTTGGGGCAATGTCCGCGGCCCTTTGGTGCACGGTTGTCCCAGCGAGCTCCCGACCCCGCCTGGCACTTCTGGCCACCTGTCAAGAAGACAAGCACATGCGCGCATGAGGGTGGGGGGCCTTCTTCGGGCCCTTTCTCTCTTTTTGTTTGTGGGGTTACTTTCGGGGTCGGTTTTTGGGGTCGGTTTCGACAGTCGCCATATTTTTCGTGGTCAAACCAAGGAATGCTCTGGGTCACTTCGAAGGGCATTATTCTTCATGCAGCACCCGAAAAGCAGCAGTTGGCGCGGCAATACTCACTTCCGGATTGGCCGAACGTCGGAACTTGTTGCTTTACATTCAAACGGTATCCCCAAGCAAGTAACTTCCATGCACAAACAGCTTCGCCAGCCGCGAAGGCACTGGCGTTGATGCTAGCCATGGGAACAGCCATGGCAAACAACCAAAACCGGATGCCACATTGGTGTTTGTTGACATAGGTGACACCAAAATGGTGATTGTCCCTTTACAAACCACCCCAAAAAGGATAACCTCAAAAACAAACAAACAAACAAACAAACAAGCAAACAAGCAAGCCAGAAAGCAGCCAGAAAGCAAACGAATACCAAACCAACTAAGAACCCAGCCAACCAATCAATCAACCAACCAACCAAACAAACACACACGCCAAAAACAAAAAAATCACGAACACACACACACACACACACGAAGCGCACAAACAAACAAAAACACACAGCCACACAAGCAACCAAACAAACCAAACAGAGAGACAGACAGACAGACAGACAGACAGCCAGCCAGCCAGCCAGACAGACAGACAAACAAGCACAAGTGAAACAGAAACAAGAAACAGAGACTCGCGCAAACAGGCAAAACAACCAAACTAACAGACAGACAGACAGACAGACGGACGGACACAGACATACAGACGAGAAACTCAGAGACAGACAGACAGGCAGGCAGGCAGGCAAACAGAAAGACAAGCAACCAAGCAAACAAACCAACGAACAAGAAAACAAGCAAGCAAAGAAACACGCAAACAAGCAACCAAACAGAACCACAATCAAACAAAAAATAGCCACAAAAAGAGACAAACAAACAATCAATCAAACAAAATCATCAGTTACACACACATGATGCCGCCCACAGAAACGTCACCACGACATCAACGAGCACAAATGCGACGGGTGCGGCCTGGCCGGGCAAAGGTCTGGTCTCTCCACCGGGCACCTTCTTCCCCTGACAGCGACACGCAACATGGGTGCTTCTCGGCAGGAAGCTTGTTCCACGGCACCAATCGGGCAAACCCAGACCAGCTTGTCTCCCCAAAAGAAGATTTCGTCCCTTCCGAGCCCTGCTTCTTTCCAGCAACCCAGGTCGCGCAACCCAGATGATCCAGTCCGTCTGAAGCGAGCCTGGAAGCGGTCGGCCCCCAGTCTCGGGAAGCTTCGGCCGTCTAAAAACCAGTCAAATCCCCTCGGTCCAACTCCCGTGAAATCCTCAGAAACCGGTCAAGTTTACATATTTCTACAGACAGGGTCACTTCCTCTCGAGACTCATTCAATCCCCTCTGA